GGGGTATGGAAACTGAATTCAGACAATGATTAAGAATCGAGAACGGTACAACGAATCGTCTTCTTTCTCTAATAATTTAATGAAACGTTAAGCTTTTGCGCTTCACGCGGGAGAGGGGGGGGGGGGAATTCAATTCAGACAAAGATTAAGAGTCGAGAACGGTACTTTTTCTTTAATGATTTAATGAAACGTAAAAGCTTCCGCGCTTCTCGCGGCAGGGGGTATGTAAACTGAATTCAGACAATGATTAACAACCGAGAACGATACAACGAATCGTCTTCTTTCTCTAATAATTCAATGAAACGTCAAAGCTTCTGCGCTTCGCGCGAGAGGGGGGGGGGGAACTCAATTCAGACAATGATTAAGAATCGAGAACGGTACAACGAATCGTCTTTTTTTCTCTAATAATTTAATGAAACGTCAAAGCTTCCGCGCTTCGCGCGGGAGAGGTGGGGGGGGGGGGAACTCAATTCGGACAAGGATGAAGAGTCGAGAACGGTACTCTTTCTCTAATGATTTAATGAAACGTCAAAGCTTCCGCGCTTCGCGCGGGAGGGGGTATGGAAAATGAATTCAGACAATGATTAAGAATCGAGAACGGTACAACGAATCGTCTTTTTTCTCTAATAATTTAATGAAACCTCAAAGCTTCCGCGCTTGGCGCGGGAGAGGTGGGGGGGGGACTCAATTCAGACAAGGATTAAAAGTCGAGAACGATACTCTTTCTCTAATGATTCAATGAAACGTCAAAGCTTCCGCGCTTCGCGCGGGAGGGGGTATGGAAAATGAATTCAGACAATGATCAAGAATCGAGAACGGTACAACGAATTATCTTCTTTCTCTAATAATTTCATTAAACTATGAAAGGTCAATGCTTCAGCGCTTCGCGCGGGAGGGGGAAACTGAATTCAGACAATGATGAAGAACCGAGAATGGTACAACAAATCATCTTCTTTCTCTAATAATTCAATGAAACGTCAAAGCTTCTGCGCTTCGCGCGAGAAAGGGGGGGGGGGACTCAATTCAGACAAGGATTAAGAGTCGAGAACGGTACTTTTTCTCTAATGATTTAATGAAACGTCAAAGCTTCCGAGCTTCGCGCGGGAGGGGGTATGGAAACTGAATTCAGACAATGATTAAGAATCGAGAACGGTACAACGAATCGTCTTTTTTCTCTAATAATTTAATGAAACCTCAAAGCTTCCGCGCTTCGCGCGGGAGAAGTGGGGGTGGACTCAATTCAGACAAGGATTAAAAGTCGAGAACGGTACTCTTTCTCTAATGATTTAATGAAACGTCAAAGCTTCCGCGCTTCGCGCGGGAGGGGGTATGGAAAATGAATTCAGACAATGATCAAGAATCGAGAACGGTACAACGAATTATATTCTTTCTCTAATAATTTCATTAAACTATGAAAGGTCAATGCTTCAGCGCTTCGCGCGGGAGGGGGGGAAACTGAATTCAGACAAGGAATAAGAGTCGAGAATGGTACAACAAATCGTCTTCTTTCTCTAATATCATTTAATGAAAAGTCAAAACTTCCGCGCTTCGCGCGGGATGGGGGGGGGGAGCAGGGGGTGGGGGGAGAGGAACTAAATTCAGACAAGGATTAGGAGTCGAGAATGGTACAACGAATCCTCTTCTTTCTCTAATAATTTGCCAAAATAATTGCCCGAATATGAATTTGTTATATCTTTTCTCGTATATTTTGGTGATAAATAACACTTTCACAAAATACATATTATCCTCAAATTTTTGCTCGCTCGCTTCGGTCACTAGCCGAATTGTGAAACCAGAGAATTACTTTTTCGGGCAAGAGGCTTCAGCCCCCCCCCCCCCCCCCCCCCGATGAAAATGTCAAAAAAAATACCGGTATGGTGCTTCTAATATGACCTTGTCAGTATTGGTATGTTGAGTTGAAAAACGGTCTGCGCAATTTTCCGGCCCTCCCTATTGGAAAATCCTGGATCCGCGCCTGCTTACTTATGTTTTGTTGATTTGAAAAGTCTTCATAATTCGAAAAAGATTGTTTTATTGGGAGGGGGGGGGTTAGGGTTAGGGGTGTGACACCCAAATTTGCTGCCAACTTTTAAGGGTGCGACGTCATCCAAATTTGCCGATTAACAAATGCATAGCATCTACCACCCTCCTTCCCTATCCTAAATGTTAATTATTCCATGGTTTAATTAGGCTCTTATCAAATTAAAAAACCTTTTGAAGTAATCATTACCCCCTATAATATTGAAACATGCAACTAATTTGTTTCTACATCGTGATCGACCTGAAAACAAATACAAAAAAGTAATTAGCCCCCTTTTTGTATCTGAATCCACATATCAGTGATAAAAAATAATCATGCGAGCGCGAGGCATTACGAATTGATTTTTCCCTCAACAGTGACAGGAACTGGGCTTATGAAGCCCTTCAAAATTTCTGTCGGCAAATGCGTCTCTCTTTTCCTCTTTCCTTCCCTACTTCTTTCATTTTTTTCTCTCTCTCTCTCTCTCTCTCCTTTTTTCTTTCTCTTTTTCTTTCCTTTCTTTCCCTTTTTTCTTCTTTTCTTTCTTTTTCTTTTTCTTTCCTTTCGTTTCCCTTTTCTCTTTTCTTTTCTTTCTTTTTCTTTTTCCTTCCTTTCTTTTCCCTTCCTTTCTTTTCCCTTTTCTCTTTTCTTCTTTTCTTTCTCTTTCTTTTTCGTCGGGGGGGGGGAATCCGGCCCCTTCCCCCCCCCCCCCATAGGTACGCTAGTGGCTACAGGACATGGTCTGATAATTCTATCGTGAATAACATGGCGGATTGCTAGACTTAAATTGTCTGATTTGTTCGTATTGGACATCGAATCTGTAGGCTATTCCGAAAAGCATCCCCCCTTTATTGCATTGACGCCCACAGGCGACAAAGCCTTGTTGTCTCTCTTTCTTCTTGTCCATTCTTCTTGTCCATCGTTCTAATTTTATGTTAAAACCAGCATAATTGACATTTTGGCATTTTTGTTTTATTTATGCCCGAGTGGGTCTAATGGCCTCTAGAGGCCTATACATAAGACCTCCTCCCCAACTGCTGTTTTAACAGAAATAAATCATAATTTAATTACGTATTTATTTCATTTCATTAAACATTTTTCCTGTGATCCAGTCTCTGTGCTTTTTCATTTTCTTTCTTTTCATTTATAACTAAAATGAAGGCAGATATGGGAAGGGTCATGATTGGTCAGAGCAAATTGACGTGTTTGTTTGGAATCTTTCAAACTTTTGTATTACTGCATTTGTTAGCCAAGAAAACCTTTTAGAATAAAACAACCTGATTCCCATAGCAGCGTTTTAAACATTGGTAAGCCCCCCCCCCCAAAAAAAAACAAAAAAACAAACAAACAGATTCCTTTGATTTTATATGATAAATTGCAAGAAATAGAAATTATCAACGGCTTCGATCATTTCTTTAAAAATAGATTTATAAGCTAATAAAACAATATAGACCTAATAAACTTAAATTTGTTTTACCCCTATTCTCGAATCCTTACAGAGTATAATTCAGGTTATTTTGCCACCTTTAGAAGTTGTCCGCATCCAATAGACGAAAAGGATTATATTGTATTTCTTTATCAACTTAAAATTTGCCATTACTGTGCATCCCTTACAGATTTATAACATTTTTTTTTATTCGGTTGTACTGATTACGAAACTTGAATTGTGGGGCCGGGGGGAGGGGGGGGGGGGGGGTGATCGAGGCTCTTTGCATCATCCCATATCCTCCCTTCATTTTTTTTTTATGGGGGGGGGGGGTGAACTTTAAGGTCACTCTACATGATAGAAAAAACAGATTTTAAATATCATAAACCATTTTCTTAATTTCGCCTTATCGCTTTCTTCTTTTTTACGCTTAGGTGGCTTAATTCCTCTTTTAAGAGAAAACTCTTAATAAGAGCGGCCTCTTGCTCGAACTCGTACTCGCACTCAGCATCCATGGTGGTATACAGTATAGTACTACGGTACACATACAATTGCAATCGCACGCAGCCTAGCCAGCATGCATGCATGCAGCAAGCGGAGACCGTACCGTACCACTCATAAAAACGATACCTTCAGAATGGAACGATAGCTGCAAAACGGAACACTATCTGCCAGCCACTCTGCGTGGTGGGTTACAATATCTGCCGGCAGATTTTGTGACGGGAACAATATCTGCCGGCGGATTTTGTTCCGCGAACACGATCCGCCAGTCACACTAAACGCCGTCACACCGGCCGACCCTACCCCAATAAGAGGCTAACGAACGAAAGAGACGGAAAATTCGGTCTAGGCCTACCCCAAATCAAGCAAATATTCATGAAATGTTCAAATAATGCCGGTCATGATTTAAAAGTCGTTATGTTTCTAACCTGTTTCTGGTCAATTTTCTTATTTGGGGGGAGTATTTTTTCGGAAAAACATTGATAGTAGTATACACTTTCTCACAGGTTGCATGGCAAACCGCTGCACAATACAAGTGCATACAGATGGAGGGTTGCGGGGGCACGTAAGTCTGCGTGAAGTGATCTACCTCCTCATTGTACGGTAGATAACTTCACACAGGCGTGCGCCCGCCCGCAACCACCATCGGTATGCACTTGTAATGTGCAGCGGTTTGCAGTGAAAGTGAAACCTGTGAGAAAGTGTACTACCGGCCCGGGCCCAGATGTCTGGAAATTGAGCATTACGTGTCGATACGTAGAGGAATAAAGCAGTGACTTGTGTCACAAACATGTAACCTTAAACAAGTCGTTTCTATAGTCTTTAGACAGCAAATTTATCTTATAGGCTACCGCGTATACAGAAATCTTTATCTGGAAATAATCGGTTAGACCTGTAAATGGTAAACAAAATTCTTTCCCCACAGGCTGTTCAAAGAAGTTTGTAGTATATGTGTTGCACATGCATACATTATCAACCATTCATTTTGTTCTTTATTCATTTTCTCATTTATTTGTAGGCATCCTTTTTTAACATCTTTCGTCAAAGAAGCACATTGTGGCCTCAGTATATTGATGTGAAACCATGCAGAAAATGCTACTCTCTCTCAACCTTGTGGATGTTCCCTACTTCCCTAAGGATCAGCAGCCTCTTGAAACAGTTGAAGCCATTATCGGTAAATGTGTACATGTACTTGTATTATTTCTGTACATTTATTTGTCATATTGTGCATGATCACTGAGACACTGACCAATTAGACACTACATAATGGTTCATTTCATTTGAAAGGCTTATTTCAGTTATTTGTCATGAGTTTCAAATATATTTATAATTCAATTAATTTTAGATCACTAAAACCTGCAGGTATGTTGCAATAACCGACAATATTATGTGAGTTTCAAACAGTGTTTTTTTACCCTTCAGCATAGGTCAAGGAGCTTTCATTCTACCCTCATCAGCAAACTACAGGAATGCCAGTTTTCAGGCAATAGCCTGAATTCAGGCCCTGGCGAGTTATTTTCATACCATAGTTTAGGTTTTTTGTGTACAAGCTAGCACATTCTAGGTGATTTTTCAGGCCCTCTGATCAATTCTAACTGGCATCCCTGAAACTACAATTGTATTGATAATTTACCAAACAAAATCCTGAATCACGTTTTGCATTGCCCACAAATGTTTAAAATCCAAAGGTGTGTTGACTTTATGTTTGTGAGCAATGAGAAATTATTTCTGATAAATCTTACCAAGCAGTACTTTTCTGACATAATTCATTATTTAATTCATTGTTTACGTTCCAGTTTTAAAATATATAAAAGTTTGTCTTAAATTGTATTCCTTTCTTTTTGCTTTATTAATGCACTAGAATTCCTTGCGTCTATGTTTTCTGGATCTGAAAGCAAAGCATAATGCCAGAGATTCCACCCAAAAGCTAACCCATGAGTCCAAGCTGAAGAGGAATATTTCCAAATCGATGGCTCCACTAATCCGATTGGTGAGTCATGGCCCTCATCAGCAAACTACAATTGTATTGATAATTTACCAAACGAAATCCTGAATCACGTTTTGCATTGCCCACAAATGTTTAAAATCCAAAGGTGTGTTGACTTTATGTTTGTGAGCAATAAGAAATTATTTCTGATAAATCTTACCAAGCAGTACTTTTCTGACATAATTCATTATTTAATTCATTGTTTACGTTCCAGTTTTAAAATATATAAAAGTTTGTCTCAAATTGTATTCCTTTCTTTTTGCTTTATTCATGCACTAGAATTCCTTGCGTCTGGATCTGAAAGCAGTGCATAATGCCAGAGATTCCACCCAAAAGCTAACCCATGAGTCCAAGCTGAAGAGGAATATGTCCAAAATTACATGTAGATCTACACTCACCCGATAGTTAAACTGCTAGAAAAAAGTTTTTTTTTTCACTTCATTATAATTTATAGAGAGAGATTGGGGGAGGGGGAGAGGTGAGGTGTAGCCACAAACCTGAATGGCTAAGCTGTGGAACTGAAATTCCCATTCATGTCACTTACAATTTTAATGAATTACAGGGTGTACGAACTGACATAATAACAGTTTGAGTAAAAGATTCCAGTATTTTGCATATATTTGTAATTACTATTTATGAGGTTGACCTGTTTCATAATGCTTAAATGTAGTAGACTTGATATGCTCAGTCTCATGCTCACCCCCACCCCCCATCCGCTTCTTATCAGTTCTTAAAACCTGTTGCAAATTATATATAAGTTGGTAATAGAGAAAAATTGAGTGAGTTAAATACAATACAAATCGATTCCATTATTAAGCAACTAAGACTTGTTCAGATACGGAACGTGAACCGCCAACAATTTTCGAAAATGATGCAGTTTGGTTTTATGTGTAAAGCGGATGGCAACAAGTCTTTGTATGTTTTGGACTGCGCATATTCAGTGAGCTCTTTTTTAAAAATAATATACAGAAATGTAAAGCATATTGAACTCTATGTCAACATTAAAAAAACTCTGAGATTTTGTTTTGCAGCATCATATCTCAACGAGCCTTAAAGGGACTTGGTAACATTGTTCATATGAGAGAAAATGATGCTAAGGTATTGACTTCAATGCTATACTGTATGTACACTTAAAGATAATCTGAACATTTGAGTTAAAAATAGACCGTGACTATTGATGATTAAAATTGGGAAAACTGATCTAATCCATTCCTTAATTCTCCCAACTATATTTTTATAATTTGATTAAATTGAAGTGAGTGTAAATCATCACAAAGCAACGAATTAGCTCCAATACCTTTTCCAAATTTAGGCGTTGAAAGATTTTTAAAGGCCTGTTTTATATCTTATTTTCATGGAAAAACGGTTGGGGAAAATTGAAAATTTTGTTGGGAGAATTAACTGTTAAAGAGTGACACACAGTAGCGCCTTCAATGAAAACCATAAATACCTTGTGGTTTGAAAAAAAATTGGTAGTTAAAAGTATAAAATTCTTGGATTGTATCTGTGATTTTGAAAGCACAATATGGCTTACCTACATGTATATTGAATTTGCTGTTAAAATTTAAGTTAAATTTTAATTCTTTTGTGAAACTCCTGGGACTTGCCAAATGAATGTTGTGACATTAGCAATGGAATATATCTCTTTGTGCTAAACTTTTTCAGCATGTTTGCTATTTTATCTTAAACTGGGAAATATCTTCTGAATAATTATTCCACCGTCACCTTGGAATTGCCCAACTGAGCCAATCGTACTGGCGGGAATGTTATCTGATATAAATTGTATTTTATACTTGAACTTCAGCTTCTGTATTTGCAACAAAACTAATTTTTTGATATTTATAAAGATGAATGTTGCCACTAATGCCTTTTCTTATATTTAAGTCATGTGCCCGTAAGAAGCAGGTTTCTAGTACAGTTGAGCTGATTTCTGCACAGTTTTCTAATATGCTGTATCGCCAAATGTGAACATCATGGTTTTGACGGGCAAGCAACCATCATCAGAAAACTCTGCAGGTATCAGTGAAGCTCTCCCTGTTCCCCTTGCTGCCAACTTGTTCCTTTTGAGTGTAAGAAATAACTTAGCTAAGCCATGTGTTTATCATTTGTGCCATTTTTCTCCTGTGTGTGATTTAGATTGTATAGTTTTATACTTTATACTGAATTCTTGCCATGAACTTAGATATTCCCCTTGTATGTAACAAGAATTGATCTTTCATGCTCAGAAATTCTTTCCAACAACCTTTTGTTTTATGTGATAGTCTTTATCTGCATTAAAGTCTTGGGGTTGTCAGGAGCGGTTTTGCAGCATGGAGACGAGGTAGAGCTGCACTGATGAATGCCTAGCTTTCCACTATGCTGTTTTGCTGAATATGAGGAACTTCCCCAGTGTGCTGTTTGCTTGTCTACTAAAATAGTGCGGGTATCAGTATAGCTTTACCTAGTCTCTATGCTGCTAACCTGCTTCCCACAACCGTAAGACTTATAAGTTTAGCCAATATGTCATAGTTTCTTGTAGCACAATTTATAACGAAACAGATATCTTTGTGATGGCCTGTTAACTTTCTTAAAATAAATTATGAGACTGACAGAAATACACTAGGTATTTATACAGCATGTTTTGGAAGAAGTGTCAGGATAGTGATGAAAAGATTTTGTACCAATGGAAAACAAAGTTAGATAGAATAAGAAGGTATAGAAATACGTATTTTATATTTTTGTTATCCATTTTCATACCATATACGTGTACATTAAAAATATGAAAATTACTTTCTGTTTGGCATGTATATATATATTATGTGATGCAATATTTGTTGCTTTGATTTTACTGTGTGATTGTTCAGAATGTGTACATGAAGTGACTTTTACACTTTCTTCCTTGATCAGGTGGTCGTATAGATGTTATTTAGAGGACAACAAAGACGTAAAGATCATGTAAGGATAAAAGGTACATCGAAATGACCAGTAAGGTGTAAATATCACGTCAAAATTTGATGTCCATACAACGTATACAGGTCTTTCTTGGGTGAAAGTTGACGTCTTAAAGACGTCTTTATTTAACCAATAAGACCTAAAAAGAAAATATGACGTCCATACAACGTCTTTATATGGTACAAGTTGACGTCTTAAAGACGTCTTTCTTTGACTAATAAGACGTTAAAATCAGGACAAAATATGACGTCCATACGACGTCTTCCTATGGTACAAGTTGACGTCTTACAGACGTCTTTCTTTGACTAAAAGACGTAAATATGACGTCCATACAACGTCTTTCTATGGCACAAGTTGACGTCTTAAAGACGTCTTTCTTTAAGGCGAGGCGTCAAAAATATCGATACCAGCAGGCTGCCGCCTCACGTATTGGCGCATCGAGGCTGCAATTACGGCCGAAGCCTGGCTGGGGCAATTATTTTTCTTTTGTTAGCCCAGCCGGCTTGCGCCAGGCTGGGATCTGAGGCTCGGTTTCCATTCGAAAGGCGGCAGCCGGCGTATGCTTTCGAACGCCATTTCCTACCGCCAGCGGTAGCCGGCTGAGCTAATTTAAAAAAATGCAGCCAGGACGCACAAGTGCAGTTAGCTGCCGCTGGCTGGTATATTTATTTTTGACGCCTCGCCTAACTAATAAGACGTAAAAATCACGTCAAAATATGACGTCCTCGTGACGACGTGCGCGGGTGCAAAATCAAGTCTTTTTGACGTCGTGTTATGTCGTCTTAAAGACGTCTTTCTTTAACTAAAAGACGTAAATATGACGTCCATATGACGTCTTCCTATAGTACAACTTGACGTCTTAAAGACGTCTTTCTTTGACTAATAAGACGTAAAAATCACGTCAAAATATGACGTCCTCGTGACGACGTGCACGGGTGCAAAATCAAGTCTTTTTGACGTCGTGTTATGTCGTCTTAAAGACGTCTTTCTTTAACTAAAAGACGTAAATATGACGTCCATATGACGTCTTCCTATAGTACAAGTTGACGTCTTAAAGACGTCTTTCTTTGACTAATAAGACGTAAAAATCACGTCAAAATATGACGTCCTCGTGACGACGTGCGCGGGTGCAAAATCATGTCTTTTTGACGTCGTGTTATGTCGTCTTAAAGACGTAGTACAAGACGTAAATATGACGTGATATTTACCAGTCTCTGCTATCAGGGTAGTTGTTATTATTGTCATGATGTTGATATTCAGGGTAACAAGATTCCATCCTCTATTAAATCTCAAGTACCCGCAAAAACGCATCCCGTTTCATTTGTTACTGTGAATGTAAGAAATTTTATCGAACGAAGGGCGATATAAATGGTTTACATTCATCAGTGACATCACGAGTTCGCGGCGGCTTCTCTTCTGTGATGACCCTTAGCGGCATCTTGATAGAAAACAATAACATGCCGACACCCTTTGAGTCAGCCGCGCGGCTTCTTTCATGTACGCGTATCTATAAAAGGAATGTGCGCAATGTATGTTTCGAATTTATATATGGAATTATTTTAGCCGGGATATATTGGTTCTCACGGTGTTGGCGTGAGAATCCTCATTCACCTTGCAGATTTTTTAGAGGATGGTCATAGACATTATTCGGTGGCAAATTAATTTACCCTCCACCAACCCCAACTTCATTTTCCTCCTTACGTTTTTCAAGTGTATTCGATAGTATGTTTTACTAAATATTATGTGGTCAGGAAGCGTGTCAAGTGATTAACATAACGGATTAATCATGTTTGTTTTTTCCCCTCAGTCAAGTAATCTTGATGTCGAAGCAATGCTTGGCAGGTTGGGGCTTTCCTGCATCACAATTAAAGGAGATTTTATATATAACAACGTTGTTGATATAGCCGAGTAACAATTTTGGTCTCAGCTCGTTATACCATATTTTGTCGTTGTTGTTAATTCGATTATATATATTGGCATTATTGTTTTGCAAGCAATACGATTTTGTAATAATGGTTTTGTTGGTCTAGGAGATAAGTTATGATTGACATGATATGTGTTTTGTCTCACAGATATAAATGCAATAATGCATGGAAATTGTTTTACATGCTTTAGGTCAAGCAATCGAATATATACGATACAGGGTAATCTCGATTAAAGGAGATTTCATATGTAACAATGTTGTTAATATAGCAGAATAACATTCCTGGTCCCAGCTCGTTGTATTATATTTTGTTGTTACCTGTATTAGGTCCATGATTATATACAACGGCATTTCTGCTGTAGCATGGTAAATTTAACGGGACCAATTAAGAACCTCGTTATACCGATTTATCGCTGTATACAGTGGGTTTAACATTAT